TGACTTTAACATCCTCTTTCAAAGCTCATTCAAAACTTACTTGCACAAGCGTCCATCATGACTCATAGGCTCTGCACAACAACAAAGCTCATTGACACTAACAGTGACTTCTATGTTGTTCTTGTGCCCTTTGAAATTTTACAAATGAGTACCACTGACTCTAATAGTCATCAACAGAATAGTGATGAAGTAATTCATTTGTTTCCTTTTATTGGTCCTCAAGATTTTGAACGTGCCATGTGTGATGATTTAGTGGTGGGGCTCGATTCTTCTTCTAGTTCTATAGCAGGGGATGTGCTAGTTGATGAGTCTCCACCTAGGGAAGGTGACAATGAGGGTGTTATGATTACTATACCAAATGGTGATGATAATGCTCGTCATATGAATGTCCCCTCAAATGTACAAGTTACATATACTTGTGGCCGCAGGGATGATACATCTTCCTCATTGAATCAACATCCCATGGTTTCTCAAAGTAAACATGGCATTTTCAAACCTCGTATTTTTCATGCTCTTCGTCATGATCTTGACATTTTTGAACCTACTTCTGTTTGGAAGGCTCTTGCATTTCCTCACTATAATCAAGCAGTTTTTTGCTGAATATGATGCACTTATTCAGAATGGTACATGGACATTGGTTCATTTACCTAGTGTCGGACTGCAATTGGGTGTAAGTGGTTATTTTGGATCAAAAAAATCTGGATGGTTCGATTGCTAGGTACAAGGCTTTCCTTGTCGAAAAAGGTTTTCTTAAAGTTCTATGATCTAATTTTAGAGATACCTTTAGTCCGATTATCAAACCGCCAACAGTGAATGTGGTGTTGTCTTTGGCAGTTCAGAATAACTGGAAACTTCGACAAGTTGATATTAACAATGCTTTTCTTAATAGAAAACTTGTTGAAGATATATTCATGGTTCAACATCCGGGGTTTGAGAATGAGTAATCTAGTGGTGAACGCCTTGTGTGTAAGTTGGAAAAAGCTTTGTATGGGTTTAAGCAAGCACCCCGTAATTGGTATTCTGCTTTGTAGTTTTTGCTTTCTCTTGGCTTTGTGGGAACTTAAGTCGATGCATTGTTATTTATTCAGCGTAATAGGAAACAAGCACCCATTGTTTTGTTTTGTTCACTCTCTTAACTTAACAACCATCCCAATCCCACGAATTTACAATCAAAGCTCTTTACTTTTGAATAATAGTAAACAAACGTAAAACTCCTAAGTTCAACTAATAATCTATCTTGACATTAGGAGGGAAGCTTGAATTTTCTCGAAAAAACACAAGCAAAGAGCAACAATATTTAATTTGAAATCAGAATCCAATGAGTTTTTATGAAGTAAACATAGGATTCTTCTTAGGGTTTTTAGTAACATGGATGCCATGAGAAGAGATTAAAAGCGTACCTGAATTTTGAGCCTTGAGGAGCATCTGGCAGTGAGACGATGGTGATGGGAGGCGTGACGATGGTGACTAACATGCCGATTTGATGAAGATGCTCGCTAAGGATGGAAGAAGAAAGGTTTAGGAAGAAACAAATTAGGAATCGGGGGGTGAGAGGAGATTTATACATTCCAAGGCGCGTTTTTATAACAAACGCCATTAAAGTACAAATCTATAGCAACATTTTAATAACAAACTCCAATAACGTGCACCTCTACTGTGGCGTTTCAACAACAAACACCACTAATGTGAGCCTCTACTGCGGCATTTTAATAACAAATGCCACTAAAGTATAGATTCTATTGCGACGTTTTAATAACAAACGCTACTAAAGTTCTCTTTTATTGCGGCGTTTTGATAACAAATGCCACTAAGGTACGGCTCTATAGCAGCGTTTTAATGATAAACGCCACTAAAGTTCGCCTCAATAGCAGCGTTTTAGTAACAAACGCCACTAAGGTGTCTCTATTAAGGCGTTTATATAACAAATGCCACTAAGGTACATATCTATAGCGACGTTTTAATGATAAACGCCGCTAATTTTGACATTCAGCGACATTATAAAAACATCGTTATATGTGAAATCTTACTGGCGTTTGTATTATAAACACCGCGAAAAGTGCCGTATAGACTCATTCCGTTGTAGTGTGTGATCATGATTCTTCTTTATATATTCTTATTTATGTTGATGACGTTGTCATAACGAGTAGTTCTTGATACATTGATTAAAGATGTGGTTCAACATCTTAGTTGTCAATTTTCTCTAAAAGATCTTGGGGAATTAAATTTCTTTCTTGGTTTGGAAGTTGAACGTGGTGACGGGGTGTTAAAGTGACTCAACACAAGTACATCCGTGAGTTACTTGACACAATAGATATGAGTAATGCTCAGTCCGCTCCTACACCTATGAATTTCTTCTCTTAAGTTAATTTAAGATGCGGGTCAAACTCTTGTTGATCCTCAACTTTGTCGAAGTATTGTAGGAGCTCTTCTTTACCTCTGTCACATTAGACTTGGCATTGTATACAGTGTTGAACATGTTGCTCAATACATGCATCAATCATGTGAGCTTAATTGGCTAGCAATCAAGCGTATATTGCGCTACTTGAGTGGGACTATGGATTAGGGTTTGGTGTTTTATGCTTTTGCGACATCCTCGTCTATTTAAACTTTTCCGGATGTTGATTGGGCAAGCAACTCTGATAATCATCGCTCAATTTCGGGGTACTATGTTTTTTACGAAGACAATCTTATGTCATGGTGCTCGAAGAAACAAAAGTCGATCTCCTGTTCCACAAATGAAGTTGTTTGGCTGATGTTGTCTCTGAAGTTGTTTGGTTGCGTGCTCTTCTTACTAATATGGGTGTTGTGTGTGCTGAAGCGCATGTTATTTAGAGTGACAGTACTAGTGTTATTGCCACGGTGTTAACTTGGTATTCCATGCACGGTCTAAGCACATTTAACTTGATGTTCATTTTGTTTATTCTCAACTTGACGCTGGACCTATCTGTGTTAATTATGTTCCTGATCATTCTCAACTTGCATAAGCCTCTCACCAAGGCTCACTTTCCTCGCTTTCGTGAAAACCTTAATGTGGCAGGTTCTTTTGCTCTTGAAGTCTGCGAAAGTACGGAAAATATTAACATATATATAATTATTAGGATGCATGCATGCATGAATGGTTGACATGCAGGTTGCGTGAGTGGTTGAGCTAGCTAATGTTTGCAATAGAGCTTTATAATTTGTTGTTATGAAAGTTGTTTAGACAATTGACATTTGTTGGTGGGTGACTCATGTGTATATTTTGACAGCCTTTGTTTCAATGAAAATCATAACTCTTTCTATAATTAAAGGATTCATAACAAATGTCAACAACAAATGTCAACAATACATTATATTTAAACAAAAAAAAAAATTTGGTCTCATATTTCTCCATTTATTTAAATTAAAATTTGATTCTTATTTTTTAGTATGATATAATTTAATTTCTTTTTACATTTTATAATGTCATTAATAGTTGAATATTTCAATTAAGTTACGAATATAGATTTTTTTAAAGCATCATTTTCACCTACATAGATTTTCTTTAAAAATCTGTCGATATTCAAACTGCAATAAAAGTAATTTATATTTTAAGTTACTTAAATTATACTTGACTTTGACTTTCCATGTAATTATTAAACCTGTTTTATTATATTTAAATTACTATTATTAATAAATTAAATTATTTTTTATTAATTCCGTCAAGTAATTTTTATGATTAAAGCTTACTCAAAATGCGTACAGCTCAAAATCGAAGTTAAATTTATTTAGAAAGTACTAAGTCATACACCTAATAAGGCATATTTTTATGTAAAATTATTTTAACGAATTTGAGGTATATGAAAATTAATGTTAAGTTTTCTGATTTAAAATGTATATCTTACAAAATAGTTAATATTGAGTAATAAAAATATTATAGAAGTATGAGATCAAATTATGTCAAATTTAAATATAGATTAAAGGATTAAGTACATAAATTGTACTCCCACTATATAGTATTATTTTGTTTAGTTATTTGACTATTAAAAGTTACAAAATGATCCCCTAATTATAGGTTGTTGTTTTGTTGAGTTCCCTGACTATTAAAAGTTATAAAATGATCGCCCGATCATTTATATATTCTAAACTCGTCATTTTCCATTAAAAAATTGACGATCGTCTGAGCGAGCAGGGATGGACCGAGGGTGGGGACAGTCGCCCCCAGAAAATTTAAAATTACCATATATTTTATATATTTTTTTCTAGTTATTTTCTATTAAAAATCTCTTTTCGTCCCCTTGGAATTTTATAAGTTCGTTTCTTTCTAAAATTTTAGAAGTTTATTCCATAATATAAAATCTTGTGTTCGTCTCTATGAGTTGGACATTTATCTACTAACTAGGATATGATAACATCTTATCCCAAAATCATTTGAATTGTGTAGTTGTTTTAGATTCTAGGATCAGATGATATCATATATCGATTAGCAGGTTAATATCCAACTCAGACGACTGTCAATTTTTAACAAAAAAAGACAAGTTTGAAACATACGAATAGTTGAGTGAACATTTTTATAATTTTTACTAGTTGATGGACTCAACAAAACAAAATAATATCTTATAGTGAATGAATCATTTTATAATTTTTAATAGTCGATGAATTTAATAAAACAATGTCATATAGTTGGTACCATATAAACTTATGTACAGTAGAGGGCTCAAAATAGAATAAGACCTTATAACCCGATCTAACTACAAACGGCGTAGTACGGTTGTCATGTAATTACACGCGCCATTAAGAATGTGAAAACAGAGAGGGTGAGAATGCAGGAGATTTTTTAGATTTGCTGTGATCGATAGAATGCCGTTTTAAGGAGCATGAACGAATGCACCATTTGTGTTCCAAACTCTCTGATTATCCATTTCGAGATCCAATCTCATCCCATAGCTTATACAACATTGGAATCAAGTTTTCTTCTCTTCCTTTTTCTTTTTGCATTTCGTCCAAATTTCTGGAAATATAACTCTTTTCGGATATTTTCGCTTAGAAAGCAAAAAGTTTTCGTTGTTCGTTTCTTCCTGATCATTTTGGATTCGAGGTAAGTCTCTATCCGAGCTTTTTCAATTTAATTTTCGATTTTTAAAACTGGGTTTACTTTTAAAATTCAAGTGGTTGATTTGTTTCAGTTTTATTCTTTTTAATATAAGTTTGATCCTGCATACTGCATTATTATTCATCTTTTCCTTTGTTATCTCTTCATAAGACGTCTTCTTAACTTATTTTTTTCCTTTTTGAACCTTGAAAATACATAAGAGTTAAAGTTTATGTCTTGGTTAAAGCTGTAAGAGCGTTGGATTCCTCTTGTTTGAATGGCGTGCCATTGATATATTTTCCGAATTTTGCCAACCTTTTTATTGTTCATTCATTATTTATCGTCTTTTTCTTTGAATTGGATCAGTTGTAATTGTTGGTATTAGTGTGTTCGACAATATTCTCTTATGGGAATTTGAGTTGAATATATTTATGTTCATGGTAAATTACCATTTGAGCTTTAGTTCATGGGATGATCTGGATTTTCTTTGCATGTATTGCATTTTAATAATATATAGAAACATTTTCTGCTTGAGTTTTCGTTTTCTTTCTGTCGTGTTAGCCTATTAGTTCTTTGTTTACAATGTTATCGTTGATGTAATGTATGACTATAATTACAAAACAAATTCGATGTCATGTGGTGTTTTTCCGGCAGGTTTTGTTGAAGGAAGTGCACCATGTTCAGGGGTTCACCTTATAGGAATCAAAGATCCAAAGGGTTGAAGGTGAAGCATGCTCTGCAAATATGTCTTCTGACTGCCATTTGCATTTGGCTGCTTTACCAAGTTAGGCACTCGAGTGAGAAGAAAGCCGAGTACGAGAAATCGGCGACCCAAGTCATAAAGTTGGGGAGAAAGGACCTTCCTCAACCAGAGAAAACGATTATTAAGGATGTGCGGATCAAGGAGGAAGACGAGGAAGGAAGCAAGATTGGAGAAGAAGATAACAAGCTTGAGGAAACTGAAACTGAAGGAAGAGGGAATGCAGATGATGATGTGATGGGTGAGCACGATGATGTGAAACCGGAAGAGGAAACCAAGCACACCGAAACTACTACAGACGGCGAGAAGGAAAATGAAGAAATCCGGAACACTGAAGTTGAAGAAAAGGAAAGCGGAGACCTGGAGAGTGAAAAGACTAAAGAGAATGTTGGTGAAGATAAGGGGTTAGAAGAGAGTAAAGAGGACAGTGAAAACAAGGTGAGTGAAGTCAATACAGAGGACACCGAGGAGAGTCGAGAGAAGGAAAATACACATATCGGGAAAGAGAGCGTCCCAACGGAAAGCCGCAAGAAAGAGACTGAGAAGAGTGGAGGTGAGATGGAAAATGTTGGTACATCAGATGATCGGGTCCATGACGGAGTTGAAAGGAGCAATGAAGAAGCAAGAGAAGAACTTTACAAGGGGGATGATGCTTCAAGCGAGGTAAGCCATGATAGCCAACATGTATCAGTTGAGAATGAGTCAGGTGGTTCAGAAAATTCCAAGGAGTTGGAGCAGTTAAAAGACAATGGTAAAAATGAGTTTGACCAGGAGAAAGGATCGAATAGCCGTGAAGCAGCCAGTGTCCATCATAACGAGTCGAATGTGCAGGAGAATGAAACAACTGAGAACAATCAAGGGAGTGGTAATGAGAGCACCGAGGCTTCAGTGACGGATACAAACTCAAATGGGAACCAGAATTGTACAGAGGCAACATCCGATTCAACTCGGAATGAAAATGATCAGCAATTGGAGAAATCCGCCTCAGTTGGCAATGGCGAGAGGTTAGATTTAAATGCAATTTCCACTTTGACTGAGCACGTGAATGGAGCTAATGGAGGTTCTGCAAGCTCTACCGGTAACTCTGAATCTGTTGAATCAAATGGGAAGACTGAGAACTCTGATGCATGGACAGGATCAGACAGCAATTCTTCATCTTCAGTTACAAGCCAAAATGACAAAGTTCAGACTGACGAATCCAACAATAATTCTGGAGTAGAGGGTACACGGGAAAAACTTATTTCCTTAAACACAATTGATAATTCAAATGCTGGCCAGAATGAAGGAGTTCATTCTTCTGATTCTTCAATTGCCGAAGAGAAGACAACATCCTCGAACACTAATGATAATGCTGGTGCTGCACAGAGTGAGAATGAGAGTGGTGGCGATACCAACAATGATGCAAATGTAAATGGGAGAGACAGCAGCACTGACAATCAGAGCAACACTAACGACATTGCAAATGCAAATGAAGATGCTATTGAAAAGGACAACAATAATTCAAATTTAAATGAAAATGCTGTTCAGAACAAGAAGACGAAGAATGCAGGTCAGAATGAGAATAATGCTTCCCAGAGCAACAATGAGAAAGCAAGTCAGAATGAGAGCAACGATACTGTTCTGCGCAATAACAACAACAACGAGAATGCTGGGCAAAATGAGAACAATGCTGCTCAGAGCGTTGCCGACAACCAGAATGTTGGTCAGAATGAGAATAATGCTTCCCAGAGCAACAACAATAACAATGAGAATGCAAGTCAGATTGAGAACAATGATCATGTTCAGATCAATACCAACAACAATGAGAATACAAGTCGGATTGAGAACAATGATGCTGTTCAGATCAACACCAACAACAACGAGAATGCAAGTGAGAATGAGAACAATGCTGCTAAGAGAAATAACAACAAAGAAAATGCAGGTCGGAATGAGAATAATGCTTCCCAGAACTACAACAGCAATAACAGTGAGAATGCAAGTCAGAATGAGAACAACGCTGTTCAAATAGCCACCAACAACGAGCATGCAGGTATGGATGGGAACAATGCTTCCCAGAGCTGCAACAACAGTGAGAATGCAAGACAGAATGAGAACAACAATACTGTTGAAAACGATATCCACGATAAGAATGCAGGTAAGAATGAGAACAATGCTGCTCAGAGCATTACTCACAAAGAAAATAAAGGTCAGACTGAGAATAATGCCTCCCAAAACTTGAACAACAACAACAACAACAGCAACAACAATGTAAACGCAAGCCAGAATAAGAACAATGATACTGCTCAGGGAAACACAAACAACCAAGAAACCACAAGTCAGAATGAGACTAATAGGGCTCGGACCCACAATAATGAAAATGCAGGTCAGAATGAAAACAACAATTCTGCTCAAAGCGCAACCAACAACAGTGGGAATTCAGATGAGAATGAGAACAATAATGTTTCACAGACCCACAAGGACAACAATGCAAGTGACAATTTTAGGACTTTGCCAGGTACCAGAACAGGGGGAAATGATGGTGAGAACGTAGCTGCAGAGTGAAAATGATGGATCTGTTGTTCACTATATGACTATTATAGCCATCAAAGTTTTGTTTTCTTCTTACTGAGATGAAAAGGCAATTATGAGTTCCTGGCTATTTGTGCTTTAATGTGATATTAGTACTGAAAGTGTTTGTTTTGTGCTTCTACTTCTAATGATAACACTCCATATTTCCATAAGCCACGTATGTATATGTCTAAATTGTGTTCTACGGTCTACCAAAAATGGAAGTCATAGGTTTTGACTCAACAGAGTATCTTCCTGGAGGTCTTTTGCTTAACAACGAAAGTTTTTTTTCTGCAAATGTGTCTAGGGGCTTCTTAGATCATCATTTTGAGTCCATGACTTTGTTGCTCAACTAACAAATACCAGTGAGGTTGGCAAAGCAATAAAATCTGATAGTGCCCCAACACCTAAAATCTATCTGAAAAACCAGACCATTTACCTTATCTTTATCATCCGAAGTTCCGGTTGGAGATTTTAGGATTTCTTGGTTACATCATTGTTGCTCATGAAATGACCTTCCATATATCATTAAACTGTGAAAACTTGGTATCTTCCATTGAGAAAGCAAGCTCTCTAGTCTTCAGTGATTTGTCATAATCTTTACCAATATTCTTCTCTTTCAATGGGTATAGTTTAACTCCCTAATCATTTTCTTGTCCTATTCTCACTTATTATACTCCATTTCTGATAGGTAATCTCAACTCTCGAATCATTCTCATGTAGTTTCAATCTGGCTTTCGTATTTTCAATATCCAGTTCTACTACCAACGGCTCCCGCATCGACACCCAGGCTACGAATTTGTGTAAATAATTCTCCAACTATACGGTACTTTTTTTTTGTTAGATTTTCTGATTATGAAAAGTTACAAACTATAATTTGATTTAAAAATAATAAAATATGAAAAGTTGATCATTTTCCATTAAAAATAATAAAATATGAAATGAATAAAATTAATAATAATCAAATTAACCCTCATTTTTATACTATATTTTAATTTAGTCCTAATTTTAAAAATTAAACATCGATATTTCAATATTATACCAATTTAATTCATGTTCTAACTCATCCATCCTCTTCACTACCACCCTCGGCATATTCCCCATCATTGCCTTATGTGCCTACCTTAACCCGTCGTTCTCGAGCACTTCTGTCGTTGTTTCGAGGGTAATGTTAAGGGGAGAAGAAATAGAAGTGATGTTAAGGGAAGAAAAAATAGGAAAGAAAAGGGATTAAATTAATAGAGTATTAAAATATTAAGATTTTTTTTTAGAATAAGGATTAAATTGAAATAAAGTGTAAAATTGGAAAGTTAAATTTAGGCTTAATACCATAATAAGTGCCTAAACTATACTGCTTTTCACAAATAGTCGCCTAAAGTATTTTCTGACTCATTCTGGTTCCTAACGTTACAAACGTTATCATTTTAGATGTTCGGGTTGTTAACGATGTTAATTTCTTCCGTTAAGTGACATGTGTCACAATATGGTGATTTTAAAATTTATTTTTTTTAAAAACATTAAAAATATTATTATATTTATAAAAAAACACTAATTTTTCTTAAATTATAATAGAGCCTCAAATTCCTCAAATCATAACCTTAACCCCCAGCCGCTGCCCTTTTCGTCCACGATCACTGCCGCCGATGTAGTCCATACCATCTTCCTAGTCATACACTGTTGTAGTTGTCGCCGATTGTGCATCAAAATCACGTGGGATCGTAATTTTTATCATTGGGTTTGTGGGGTATAAAATGTTGATTCCTCGACTGTCAATCAATCACAATTTTATAGGGGTTTTGGTCGTCAGGGGGAGGTGAGGTCGGGTGGAGCTTTGTCGATGGTAAAAGTCGATGGCCAGCGTGGGTTTAGGGGTTGAAATGAAGGTTTTCAAAGCTTTAGGGGTTATTTCAAAAAATTTATGTGCTTAAAAATATATAATTTTAATTTTTTAATTTTAAATATTTTTTAAAAAAAATTACCTGATTATGAAACATGTCACTTAACGGGGGAAATTAACACCGTTGACGGCCCAAACACTTATTGTGGTAATCTTTGTAATGTTAGACACCGTGATGAGTCCAAACATACTTTAGGTACCTATTCATGAAAAACGATATAGTTTGGATACTTATTTTGGTATTAAGCCTTAAATTTATTAATAACAACATCATCTTCCGTTAAAAGATTAATGGAACAAGAATAAACCGTTACTTTTTTAAGTCAAAAAATGATTTTATAATTTTTTTATAGTTAGAACTTAACAAAAAGAAGTTCTATAACCAGGAGTAGGGGTGAGCGTTCGATAGAGTCGAGTAAAAAAATTTCGAGTTATTCGAGTTTACGAGTCCTACTTTATAACTTGGAATTGACTTAAAAAATTTTTGAGTCGAGTTTATAAAATTCTAGTCTAGTCGAGTCAAAATTTTGATTTTATATTTATATTTAATTATAAATATTTACAATATTATGACATTATTTGATTCTAATTTAGATAATATTTTATAACCCGATACAATACATATATAGTTTTTTCATATTTTTTTTCATATTTGATTTACATATACCATATACAAAGTCAAAGTATTCGACTCAAATTTGAAAATCAATCTATTCATTACTAAAAAATTCAAGTTATTTGAGTTGTATTTCACAACTCGATTTGAACTTGAAATTTTTCCGAGTCGAGTTGAGTTTATGAAATTACAACTCGAAGTCAATTCAAATCGAGTTTTTTCAAGTCCAGTTGAGTCAAAAGAAATCGATTTTTTGAGTTAAGTCGAGTTTTGCTCACCCCTAACCAAGAGACTTTTACTATATTACCCAAAAGTTTAAGATATCCCCTTTCTGTATTCGTTTCGAATAAAGTTTTTATACGTATGGTCTCTAATTATGGGGTATTATTGTATTAAATCCTTCGATTATTAAAAGTTATAAAATGGTCCTCCAACTATAGAGTGTTGCTTTATTGAGTCCCTTGACTATTAAAAGTTACAACATGGTCACCTGACTATTCATTATATTCAAAACTCATCTTTTTTCGTTAAAAAATTAGCGGATGTCTAAGTTGGATGTTAACATGATGACCCGAATATGATGATTTGAGATAAGATTTTATCATATCGCAATCAACAAGTTAACGTTTAACTAAAAATAACATCAATTTTATAACGAAAAAGGGAATTAGCAAAACACCACTCTATAGTCAAGGGAGCAAAACAACACTCTATAGTTGGAGGATTATTTTGTAACTTTTAATAGTCGAGGGACTTAATAAAGCAGTACCCTATAGCCGGGTGACCATTTGTGTACTTTACCCTTTTTTCATATAGAATGCGTACTCTACGCAAACGTCTATTATTTGATTGCTAAGAATATTTCTTTGACAGATTTTTTAAACACATACAGTACCCCACACTCGGTTGTAACAAACTTTCTTCCGCATATCTTCAATCCCATGAACTCATTTGATTTAAAATTGAACAATTAATCTTGTTTGCATCACTTGTTATGTTGAAATCATGATAATTCTCAAATCTAAAACAATTGACAATGTTTATACGGTGGAATTGTTTTTCTCTAAGTTTTACATACATCAGAGTACTCTTCCAAAAGCTTCTTGTTATTGACCAAAAATCTAATATCGACACCCCAGGTCTAGATAACATAGTACATGCTACAGAGTTAACGCGACAACAGATGAAAACGGGGTGATTTAAGCCAGAAAAATCTATTAGGAAATGGATTCTTATCAACACAGCCATATTTCTCCAACACATGCACAAATAAATATTTTCTCTAACACAAAAATGTAGCGGAATAGTTCATTTTTGTTAATAGTAATGTTGAGATGACCACAATAACTGAATTCAGTAGCGCTGTATGAAACCTGGCAAAAGGCACTCTACTTTTCCCTCGATGGAGATCTCTCATTTTTCTGATCATGTTAATCCAGACGCTTAAATAAAACACAAATTGGAAAGGAAAGTTTCTCAAACAGTTGTGCTTGCACAGAATACATGTTACTGAATATCAACAAAAAGAAACCATTTCTACTCCCCCCCAGTTTTTGATGACTTTCGTGCATTCTTTATCTAGTTGGATCATAATTCCTTCACATACTTCATTGTTCAAAATTTTGCATTCTCATTTTTTACGACTCATAATTCTCCATCTTCATCGTCGAGTTGCTTACCTTGAAGTTTTGCAGCTTTCAGTTTCTCACCTACATCAGAGTACTCTTCCAAAAGCGTCTTGTCACTGACCAAACACAGACTGAGGATGTGATAGCATCAACATATGCATATGTACTTTGTCTACTATAACTCAAAAATAAATCGAGTTTTTCTTTCTGCCCACGTGCGTACTCACAAATGAAGTCAATAATGGAGTACTATTTTTGTGTCAAATGCACTAATATAGCTTATATCATATTTCTGTGGTGCAATCAATTTCCCTTTTGCATAACATTCCAAATGGACAAAACTTATATAATTAGTCTTAGTAACTGCTGATGAAGAATAATTCATGATTAAAGTTATTAATCATGTGTGTATGATCTCATTTCATTGGTTTGCTAGCTGCCCTCTACGAAAGGGAAATATGAAACTTATGAACTAAATTTAATCAACTTTAGGCGGCCTATAGTGGGTGCTTCTAGTGTATACTTTACGTTAACCATCCACATTTTATTCAGAGTATATAAGTGTTTATTTTAAATAAAAAATTTTTATTAAACTTGAATTTTATTTATGTCCACTCACGTATAAAGTAGAAAAAATCAATTAAAGATCTTATATAAAAATATATATCTATTCCTGCCACTACCTTATGCAGACAAACCAAAAAGATTTTTATGCCTTCAACCTGCTGGACGATGCCCCATTTCATCGTGTAAAATTTGTGGATTAATAAGATTAACTTGTAGAAATTCAAGTCTTTTAAGGTATAGTGTATCTTCAACATTTCCACTTAAAAGACAGTGGTGCAACTATTACTTGGACAATATGAATAGTTTTCAAATAAGGAATGAAGTTGTCCGATTGTCGATGCATAACTTTATGCCTTGGACTCACCGTTCATGCATACTCTAATATTTCCGCATTTTTTGACTTGCTCGTTCCACATTATTACTTTATTACTATACTAATATTAGTTTC